GGGTTCATGCCAATTTTTAAAAAGATTTTTTTTTTAGGTTTTTTTTTTTTTTTCTCCTTTCAGAGAGACCAGAATTCCAAATCAGAGATACTTAGGGTGATAAGCTGTGATCTTTGAGTTAGCTATAAATAAGATACTTCAAGCAAATAAACAAATTTGAGATAGAAAGGGGAAAAAGACGTGAGACATTAGGTTGACTTTTTTTATTGTGAAATTCTGATCCTAAAAATAATAAATGGGGGATTACGGGTTTGGAGTGCTAGTGCAAAGCAATACTGGGAATAAATCTGCTTTTCCAGTTCGATTCCATCCACATCTGCAGCCTCCACACCATCACCAAAATGCCACCCCCAGCCCTGCTGCTTTTATAAATAATAACACAGCTGCCAATGGCAGCGGTGCTGGGTCAGCTTGGCTCTTTCCTGCCCCAGCTACCCATAACATTCAAGATGAAATCTTGGGGTCAGAAAAGGCGAAGAGTCAACAACAGGAACAGCAAGACCCTTTAGAAAAGCAACAACTCTCCCCAAGTCCAGGTCAGGAAGCTGGAATACTGCCTGAAACCGAAAAGGCAAAATCTGAAGAAAATCCAGGGGACAGTTCTTCGGAAAACAGCAACGGGAAGGAGAAAATTCGAATTGAGTCTCCAGTGTTGACAGGGTTTGACTATCAAGAAGCCACGGGCCTCGGCACTTCCACCCAACCCTTGACATCCAGTGCATCATCTCTTACCGGTTTCAGTAACTGGTCAGCAGCGATAGCGCCTTCTTCCTCTACGATAATCAATGAAGATGCAAGTTTCTTTCACCAGGGAGGGGTCCCTGGCGCTTCGGCTAATAATGGTGCTCTGTTGTTTCAAAATTTCCCCCATCACGTCAGCCCTGGCTTTGGAGGCAGCTTCTCCCCTCAGATCGGGCCTCTCTCCCAGCACCATCCTCATCACCCACATTTCCAGCATCATCACAGCCAGCATCAGCAGCAAAGGAGGTCTCCTGCCAGTCCCCATCCCCCACCCTTCACACATAGAAATGCTGCTTTTAACCAGCTGCCTCATTTGGCGAATAATCTTAACAAGCCTCCTTCTCCATGGAGCAGCTACCAGAGTCCCTCTCCAACCCCTTCTTCTTCCTGGAGCCCAGGAGGTGGGGGCTATGGTGGCTGGGGAGCTTCTCAAGGCCGAGACCACCGCAGAGGGCTGAATGGGGGAATAACACCCCTGAACTCCATCTCACCTTTGAAGAAAAATTTTGCAAGCAATCATATTCAGCTCCAGAAGTATGCTCGCCCCAGCTCTGCCTTTGCTCCTAAATCCTGGATGGAAGATAGCTTGAACAGGGCTGACAACATTTTTCCTTTTCCGGTAAGATATTGCTCCATTAATAGATTAAGATGGATAAGGAAACAGTGTGGTGTAGTATCTGTGGGATGAAAGAATTTGAATTGTCCACGTTCACATCACAGCTCTTAGAAAACGAATCAGTTGATGGATTTTATTCTAGCAGACTACTGTAATTGGAACAAAATATTCAGCTGTTTCTTTGGCATTTTTTAAAGTGAAGCTTTAATCTTCCCGTGGATAATTTGAATCCCAGGTAGCTAGCAGTGTCCTGATTAATTACAATACCTTTCCTACCTGACAAGAGAATCAGGGTCAGTTTTCCTCACTTACTCTGGGGAGAACAATAATATGTAGCAGAAATATATTTTGTTGTGGAAACGAATGTTTTCTGTCTATCTGAAGTAACTAAAAATGACTTTAAAAAAGCACTCTACTGTTTTTTACCTTTTTACTAAAATCTGAATTCCAGTTTTCTCATTGGTTATTTTTTAAACCTCAACCTTGCAGTCTGAGCAACCTGAGCAGTTTAATCTATCAATTCATCAATTCAGCAATTCCTCTCAAACCTCTGAGAATTCTGACCTACCCGTGTCTGCAAGGACTGCCAGTTAGAGAGAAATGATAGAAATGCTTTTTGCCATGCCGAGGATGGCACCCAGGGCTTTCTGTGTGCTAACCATTTCTTTCTGAATAATTTGAAGGTGTTGATTTCAGAATGACATTTTTTTTTTTTGTGATGCTTTTCACCCGTTTGTTTATTTTCCAGTGTTAACACTAGGGGTGTAGATAATTAAACCGTTCCTAAAAATAGATCCAGGCAAAGATCACTTGTCTTTGTTGCCACCAGTATATCCTTTTTCTGGCAGGAATCACATTGTTTGCTGTTTCTGAACTAATGAACAGCCAGTTTACCTTGCAGAAGCAAGATAAAGAGAATTTCATGATAGTTGAATATCACCTGCCACATTCAATTTATATTGTGGTGGTATAATCATATGTCCTTAGAAAATTTATAGAAAGTAATAGAGAACATGAGCCAATCCTCTCAACAGTCCCACAAGTTAAGTTCTATTACTGTCCTGTTTACAGATGAGGAACTTAAACACAGCTTGTAAAAGCACAAATCCTAGGTTAAAAAGTCAGGATTAAAAATATGTGTACATGACTATATATGCATGTATTACAGCTAGATGGTTATTTTAGATAAATAAGCATTAAAACATTATAAAATACTGGTAGTTCTCTTTCAATTAGTAATTTAAGGGGAGTGGAGGTTTGTTAAGAGAACCCTGTGTCATTCCGAGGAATTAAATATCTATTCACTCCTTAAGGTTAATACAGGTACAGTGCATCAAATTTAGTTTTAGATTTTAAAAAAGGGATTTGCCTATCAAAAAGTTGTTGGCATTTTTCTATTAGGAAACATTTTTTTTTATTCAAGCCAAAGTGCATTTGTGTTAGTGAACAGATAAATAGCTGTTCAAGATATTGACAATGTCTTTGAAATTTTTATTTTTATTTTTATTTTTATGTGTAAGAGTGTTTTGCTTGCATGCATGTATGTGCACCATGTGCATGCCTGGTGCCCATCGAGGCCAGAGAGGGTATCAGATCCCCTAGAACTGGAGTTGTGCACCTGGATGATTGTGATCTGCCAAGTGGGTGCTGAGAATACCAGGCCTGAGTCCACTGGAAGAATAACCAGTACCTCTTAACCCCTCAACCCAACAATGCCTTTAAAAAGTCACTTTTTATTATTTCTTTGAACATAAATTTAAAAGAAATTTAAGCAAAGGTGGCTATTATGAATTATTTCTATATTGCTAATTTAAAATATCTATACTTAAAAATTTTAAGCTATCTTTATTTTATGTGTATGAATGTTTTGTGTACAGCAGGTAGGTGTACTATCTGTGTACAATGCTTAGGAAAGTCAGAAGAGAGCATTGGGTCCCCTGGAACTGGAGTTACTGATGATTGTTAGCCACCATATGGGTACTGAGAACTGAACCCTGGTCCTCTGCAAGAGCAACCAGTGCTCTTCACTGCTGAGCCATCTCTCCAGCCCAAATCTATACCTTTCAACTGG